GTAGTATTTTTCATCTTGGTTGTGAATATCTTGAAGTTTGAAGTACGACAGTTTTCTTCTCAATCTCATGTTGAGTTCTTGAGGTCTTCTTTTGAGGCCTTTTTTGCTTTGCATTTCCATGTTTTGCAAAAGAAAGCCTCACTTTTGTTAACTAGTATTTCAGAAAACTTTAAACTTTAGCTAAATTCTTTCAAAGTAAACTAAAACTTCGCCTTTTGAGCGACTCAAACACTACATGACTTTTGGCACGTTACAGGAAGCCCTTCCAATGCAGTTCTTGTTTGACATGCGCTGTCAACTTTACTTTTTGTTGCTTCGCCTCTTTTTGATCTCAATGCCTTGCCATATAATAAATATCTTATTAACCTCGTTTGCTCGGTCCGTACCGTAAGTTATGGATCCTCGTTTTTTTCACTTTTTTATGGCCCGCGCGCTACGCGCTTGGGCCATAAGGCAGTGGAAAAAACTCGGTCCATAACTTACGGTACGGACCTCGCACTCGGTTAATAAGAGCTATTTATTGAAATGGGTGTTTCTTTAAAAGAATGCGTCTGAGACTGGTGGTGATAGCCAGATGTCTCAGAGTACGAAAAACAGTTAGAGAGCACACTGTTCTACTGTTGCGCACAACATTGAATGCAAAATTGAATAAATTACCGCGTTGCTCGAATTGTTGCTCTAAACAACTAAAAGAACGAGCTAAGAGAAATAAAGTACGGAGCTACTTCAGGCTGCGAATTTTAGTTCTTAAATTACGTTGTGCACGCGTTAAACACCTGCCAATTAAATTTGACGCTTCTGTATAATATACTGTTTTCAAGAAATCTGCGACGTGGTGCATAGAGCGTTTTAACTCAGTCTCAAGATAGAGCCATATGTGTGTTCCTAACAAAAGAAACTAACAAAATTATTGCCAAAGCTGGTACACCAATATGGCGGCTGGGACGACATATCACTCACGTTTTCTGTTATCAGCAACAGAGCACATAACAGTTCCGCGGTGTGACCGAGCGTTACTCTGTTGAATAACATCGATTCCTTGTTGATGCAGGTCGTGCAGCATGGACTCAACACACTAGGGATGGTAAAGAACTTCCTGAGATAGCACGTGACGACAACTATGACTTTAACTTCCAGGTATGTAACGTACGAAACTGTAGATAGAGTAAACCTCTTGGGAATACGACAATGTACTGTATTGTACCTTTTTACCGTACGGAGGTAAAAAATAGAAGGAAAAATGCTATTTTCCCTAAACTTTGTATAGTCGTTCAACGCATCATGGACATTTCAAGTGCGCAATAAAAAACGGGAGGTGACCATTCTCGTTTTCATGCTACCTGATCTCAAGATGTGACAAAAGACGGCCTCGATTACGGATATGACAGTAATCCGAGGTCAAATAAAAATAGCACAATTCCAAATGCAATGCAAAATGTACGTGTTTTAAGCAACCTTTTAAAGGTAATCTTAATTACACTAGCTAAGCTAAGCATTTAATTATGTTTAAGTTATATTGTACAAATGCCTTATAGTTGAAATATGGAACTACGTGCGCTCTAGAGAGTCGTCCTGAGATCGAATCTTTCAGCTATTCTTACCAATAAATATATACCTTCGGGAAATATCATTTTTTCCATATTTCGTAGGTGGATGCTTTATGGTCTTGTAAGTCAATATGCGAAACAAAAAATGGGGTCACGAAATGTTCGAAAACTCACAATTTAGGTCGAGTTTTGCAAAAAAAAGCAAATTTTTGACTCAAAAAAAAAAGAGGACAAAGTGAAATTTAGATTAGAATAGAGAGGAAAGAAAGGAAAGAAAAGGAAAGAAACAAAACCAGAAGGAAAAGGAGACGGAGAAGTATAATTCTTGAAAAGGGTAACTTTCCTTTGGGGTTAAAACACACAGTCTGATCACTGGAAAAATTTATCGATTTGAGATGTTGGAAATATGTTGGAAGTTTCGACTTCCAACATATTTCCATACTATGGAAGTTAAAAAAACCATGGAAATATAATGGAAGTCAGCACTTCCATACCATGGAAGTCATGAAAGTGCAAGCGTCATGCAAACAATGTTCACGTTTTTACTAAAGAGTTTTAAACTTGGTTTGATTGCGACCCACTGCTCACTAGCGATATATGTAARACTAAAACCGCTGAGAATGAGCAATATTTGTATCATTTACTTGTAGGACATCCAGTTCTTGCGAAATGAAGTGCATTTAAAACCAGTAAGTGAAAAGTTAATACGACAAAAAATATTGTGGGAATCAAGGGTGTGTATGTATGTATGTGTCGAAAATCTACGTCACACTTCCTCGCGTATAATATTATCCAAATATCAATATATGGTAACAACATACAATTTACAATTTTGTCATTAGCTGTGTCCTTGATCGATTATTAAGGATGTCGCTTTTGAAGAAGATCAGTACAAATTCATTTACGCAACAGACCTATGATTATATGCATTAGTTATAACTGGCTTACTTTGACATTTGCTCAAATTCTAGGGAGACGAAATCATCCATAACTGCGTGTACAACACAATGGATCGCACCAAGCTGACATTTGTAAGTGATAGTTGGGTAATGCTTCCGAATCTTATCATTGGAAGAATTAATAAGAAATATCCGACGTATTTGGAGAAGAAGATTAATATCCCGATTGTTGGTAGACTTTCCCTCTAGATTCAGTAAAGACGATTTTTTAGAATATCGAGTTTCAGGATTCCTGTTGACGCGCGGAGATTGGGCAAGTGGGACTTTTCGCAGTCTAGATTTTCGGCGGAAGTAAAATCCAGTTCAAAATATTTCCTCTAATGCAGGCAGCAACAATTTAGAATCGTAGCATAGGGAGGATCAGAGGGGAGCTTGAATGAAGAGGACTAAATAAGATAATTTATGAACACGGAGGTTCCGTTTTTTTAGGGCGGAGACTCGACGAGAGATGAGATGTGTCTGAACTTCGTGTTTTACTACCCATTCCTACCAAAGTTACCGCGTATTTGTACCGCTTTAGACCTGAAGGCAGGAGTGGCCATGATGGATAAACATTACCCAGCGTAAGTAACATTATTGTCCATTTGATACAAAGATAAAAAAAGAAGTTAAGTTTGGACCTTTTTTGCGTTTACTGATTACGCCACGAGCTTAAGGGAGTAATTGCTTTGTTGCCTGAGCCTAGTTTGAAGCACTCAACGCCAAATGGAATTGGATTTTAGAAGTTTTGCGCCGGACGGAAACTCAAGAAAAAACCCTTAAAACAAAAGAGAGGTCTACTCCAATAGAGGCTTTGCACCATCGCGTAACGACAGCCACGAGGATGGCAATAACAATACAATCGTTTTACATTCAATTTCCGAGAGCAAAGGGATTTTATTGTTATAACGTCTAACCACAGGCTATCCGAGCTGTATTATGGGCGCCGGCACGTGAAGGTGGAAAGCCTCTATATGTATGTCTTACTTGAATTCCACCTCACGCTCACTCACAACGTCAATTATGTCATCATACAACAACTTTAAATCGAAAAGAAGTTGTTTTAGAATACCAAAAATCCTTATGTTATTTTCGATATTCTATTCTTTGTGAACGCGCATATACAATAATTAGTTAGCCATGTTCTGGCTATTTAATTTCAAGATTACCGACCTTCAGATGGCTACTGAATATGGCTGAATTAGCGATTGGTATTAATTGATTATTTAACTTGGGGGAATCTTAAAAATCTTACTAGATTATTTTGATTTGATTTGATTTTTCCTTGAAAGCGAGGATGGGAAAAATGCATCGCTAGTATACAACCCTATCAAAAGAAGCCACGTAATCTGGACGCCAAAAATGACCGATGAATACAAACAACTGATTGCCGATGATAACCAGTTGTTTAGACCCTTTTGTTCTATGAAAACCGTATTCAATAATACACTTCGCGTGAGTATTCCTTTTATTTGTGGGTTCATGATCAGCTAAAATAAATCTTCTGAATGCAAAATCATTGGTAAGGAGATATTGACGCCTTTGCTCGTTGATTCTTCGTTCCTCCCTTTCTTTTCTTTTCTTTTCTTTTCTTTTTTTTTTTTTTTTTTTTTTTTTTTTTTTTT